CCGTTCCACCACCGAGCTCGTCATCTGAAACGCTTGTCTTGTGAAAGGTAGCCAATCAAACTGCAACAGTTCACTGACTGGCTGCAGGACCCACGCCCCGGGGGAGCAAGTCTCAACAGCGGACACAGGCACGCACACACACGCAGTGAGAGCTCGTCAATCGACACAAATTTTCTGCTAACAGCTAGCTCGTTGTCCGAAATTCTCGTAGATAGGACTGCTCGTCACCCGAGGCTCTACTGTACATTACTGTTTCATGAGCATTACTTGTAACCAGAATCACAAGCATGCGCTCGAACAGGTTCGTGCTGTTGCATCTTGGAACCCAAGGTAGAGGAGCGATCGAAAGTTTATTCTGATTGTGGGACTTAATTAAAAAGTTGTACTTTGCCATGAAGCCAGAAGGGAGCATTCCTATTTCTCTTGTCCCTATATCGCCGAGTGGAAACCCACTGCAGCGAGCCAGCCAACAAGAAGGCCGAGGTCCAGTTCATGTGGAAACTCTTCACGATAAATGGATACCCCGGCGCATTCGTCGAAAAATGCAGGCGAGGAGTCAAACGAAGGAAACCAACGGGAAAGCCAGAACCAACACGCTCGCGAGCAATACCTTGCATTGCTGGTGTATCCGAAGAATTCGCTCGACTGGTCAGCGAATGTGGGATTGGCGTCGCTCACAGACCGGAAGCGACAATCCGCAGGCGACTCATGCAGCCTAAAGACCTAATACTCGTTAACCAAAGATCCGGTGTCATTTACCGCATCGACTGTCCTTGTGGTCAAGCCGATTATGTTGGTGAAACCGGCAAACGCATTCTCACAAGAATGCATCAGCACGAACTCGCCGTGCGATGGAAGGACGAGTTTTCCATGGTAGCCGCTCACGCATCCACGCCAGAGCACGGCTTCGACTTCGAACGCGTACGAATACTAGGTCAGTCGGACGACCGAAGCTGCTGCAGGAAGCATGGAATTCACGCGCGGATTCAATTAATAGACATATCGATCTTCCTGATGTCTATCTCGCGTTGAGCGAACAGATCGAGGGCAGAGGTCAAGGTCACTCCCGGCAGAGCTGACCTAAATATGAAGAACTGTACATTTTTTTCATTCCTTAATAATGGGCTCGCCTGAGAGTTCGAAACGTCGGAAAAATAAACTATTTGTCCCAGATAACGCTTTACCGTCTTCCACAGTACTCTATTGTTAACTACAGCTCGTGGTTACGCGACAGCCCACAAGATTTCCAGCCCAAAATGAAAAACTAAAATGGCCGAGCAATAAATAACAGTCCGCGGCTGTGGGTTAATTGTTCAACTCTAGATTGGTCACAATGACTAACTGCGTCATATTTCAAATCCCCACACTTCGGTCTGGAAGGGCTGATTGACCAAAAGTTCTAGGAGGCAGTTCCGAAGAGGAAGGGGCGATCGCTGGAACAATAATTTTATTTTCCGGACGTTTCAGATTCTGTCGAGAATCCCTAATCGACAGGCCAGAAGCAACCATCAGGCGCCGGGTCATGAGACCTAAAGACCCACTGCCACGGCAGAAAACGGCTAGAGTTGTGGTGCGGTTGCGGACAAAGCAACTACGTTGGAGAAATTGGGAGATTACTCCGGACGCGAATGGCCGAGTGCGCAGCGGCGGTGAGGAAGAAGGACGCTAACTCCCAGGTTGGAGCTCACTCGACGGGACCCGGCCATATTTTCAAGTTAAAGGAGGCCAAAATCCTCGCAAGGGGTGACAACCACGTGAGCCGCGAGCTGCTTGAGTCATGGTCCTCAAACCCACAGTCAATCAACAAGCGCGACGGATTGCCGTTCCCATACTGCGTACTGATGCATTGCCTGCGCAGGAAAGTCAGTCATGTGGGAAAGGCCGGGCCCAGCAACAACTCCGACGACAATGAACATAATTGTCACGCAATTATGAAGCCCGCATCCGACACGGACAACGAAATCGTGGCAATTATTGACTCGCAAGCGAACAGCCAAGTCCTCAACGCACTAATTACGGCCCCAAGAGGCTGATAATTATAGCACGCATGCGGGCGGCCGCTACGAACCATAAATACCGCGCAATCTGTGCATGTCTCACACCATCCTACGGTTACCTATGATTAAGGATTCTCAACAGAATCCGAAACGTCAGGAAAATAAACTTCTTGTTCTCGTGATCGCATCTTCTTCTTCTGACTAAAAATTTTCATTCCAAACTCCCGTCCTTTTATCAGTAGCATTCCTCTAGTAGATAAAAACAAAAGTATCCAGCTCGGCACCTGTTGTCCGCAAACCACTAACTCACCAATCAGGTGCGTCCATATGTTGACAGTTTCGGTGTGTAGTCGGAAAATGGACCTGAAACAGGCCTGAAATGAGGTCAGCGGCGGTCTGTGACCCCAGAGCAGGTAGTCATTGTCACGGAGCCACAGAGGCAGACTGGTGTGGTGCACCACGCGCCAACCCTGCTCCCACAAATGCAGCACCAACTCCTCTGCCTGTTCCGCCACCCGGCTAGCCACCTCACTAATCTCTCGAGTCGCCGAGGAGAAGAGTTCACCACCGTAGCTGGCTGAGCGACGATGGGCGCGAAAATCTGGTTTCAGCAGG